TCTATGACTAGGGTGGCTGGAGTCTTTGACAATTTTGAGGGCTTTCCTCTGACACCGCCTGGTATAGAGGTCCTGGATGGCAGGAAGCTTGGCCCCAGTGATGTACTGGGCCGTATGCACTACCCTCTGTAGTGCCTTGCGGTCGGAGGCCAAGCAGTTGCCATACCAGGCGGTGATGCAACCAGTCAGGATGCTCTCGATGGTGCAGCTGTATAATTTTTTTGAGTATCTGAGGACCCATGCCAAATCTTTTCAGTCTCCTGAGGGGGAATAGGCTTTGTCGTGCCCTCTTCACGACTGTCTTGGTGTGTTTGGACCATGATAGTTCGTTGGTGATGTGGACACCAAGGAACTTGAAGCTCTCAACCTGTTCCACTACAGCCCCGTCGATGAGAATGGGGGCGTGCTCAGTCCTCTTTTTTTTTCCTGTAGTCCACAATCATCTCCTTTGTCTTGGTCACGTTGAGGGAGAGGTTGTTGTCCTGGCACCACACGGCCAGGTCTCTGACCTCCTCCCTATAGCCTGTCTCATCGTTTTCGGTGATCAGGCCTACCACTGTTGTGTCGTCGGCAAACTTAATGATGGTGTTGGAGTCGTGCCTGGCCATGCAGTCATGGGTGAACAGGGAGTACAGGAGGGGACTGAGCACGCACCCCTGAGGGGCCCCCGTGTTGAGGATCAGTGGGGCAGATGTGTTGTTACCTACCCTTACCACTTGGGGGCGGCCTGTCAGGAAGTCCAGGATCCAGTTGCAGAGGGAGGTGTTTAGTCCCAGGATCCTTAGCTTAGTGATGAGCTTTGAGGGCACTATGGTGTTGAATGCTGAGCTGTAGTCAATGAATAGCATTCTCACGTAGGTGTTCCTCTTGTCCAGGTGGGAAAGGGCAGTGTGGAGTGCAATAGAGATTGCATCATCTGACTAGTCTCCCAGTCCCTGCCCCTGAAAAACATCCCTTATTATAGCAGGTTATGACAAGTTATGTCAGCTGTATTGACATATTATGACATGGTTATGAACGTGTCATAATGTGTTATGGGTGAAACTAACCCAGTAATGAATTAGCTCTTCAATTAAAATCATAACCATTGAAATATTTTACATTATCATATTTGACAATAGGTTATAATTATTATAATAATCCAATCATGGCTTTTCATCAGATCTGTGCCTTTATACCTTTAGATATTTCTTTGCTGCAAGTCTGTATTTCTGGCCTATTTCATGACATCCAAATGCAATCATAGTTACTGTATGTGGAGTCTCAATCACTGAAAAGGATCTAACCGAACTACCGCCTGGGAGGCATGTGCTTCCGCGTATGATGCGTGTTGCTACCGAACCGAAACAAGAAAAAGTGTCAATAAAGTCAATACAATGAATGGCGTTACTGGGTATAAACACATCACATCATCATCACACAATTCACTGGCGACACAATCTGTTTAGAAGAGGTTCAGAGATCAGAGCTTATCTCCCCTGATACCATAATGTGCATGCGCACACGCAAATTCTACAGAGCGGATGTCTTCACCGAGGATTTTCGTTTGCGGGATAGGTTGACCGCAGTATCAGACTACAGAGTGCGCACCTAGGGGCATGGTTTATAAAATATACAGTGGGGAGAACAAGTATTTGATACACTGCCGATTTTGCAGGTTTTCCTACTTACAAAGCATGTAGAGGTCTGTAATTTTTATCATAGGTACACTTCAACTGTGAGAGACGGAATCTAAAACAAAAATCCAGAAAATCAGATTGTATAATTTTTAAGTAATTAATTTGCATTTTATTGCATGACATAAGTATTTGATACATCAGAAAAGCAGAACTTAATATTTGATACAGAAACCTTTGTTTGCAATTACAGAGATCATACGTTTCCTGTAGGTCTTGACCAGGTTTGCACACACTGCAGCAGGGATTTTGGCCCACTCCTCCATACAGACCTTCTCCAGATCCTTCAGGTTTCAGGGCTGTCGCTGGGCAATACGGACTTTCAGCTCCCTCCAAAGATTTTCTATTGGGTTCAGGTCTGGAGACTGGCTAGGCCACTCCAGGACCTTGAGATGCTTCTTACGGAGCCACTCCTTAGTTGCCCTGGCTGTGTGTTTCGGGTTGTTGTCATGCTGGAAGACCCAGCCACGACCCATCTTCAATGCTCTTACTGAGGGAAGGAGGTTGTTGGCCAAGATCTCGCGATACATGGCCCCATCCATCCTCCTCTCAATACGGTGCAGTCGTCCTGTCCCCTTTGCAGAAAAGCATCCCCAAAGAATGATGTTTCCACCTCCATGCTTCACGGTTGGGATGGTGTTCTTGGGGTTGTACTCATCCTTCTTCTTCCTCCAAACACGGCAAGTGGAGTTTAGACCAAAAAGCTTGACGGCATAGTGTGTTACTAATGGTTTTCTTTGAGACTGTGGTCCCAGCTCTCTTCAGGTCATTGACCAGGTCCTGCCGTGTAGTTCTGGGCTGATCCCTCACCTTCCTCATGATCATTGATGCCCCACAAGGTGAGATCTTGCATGGAGCCCCAGACCGAGGGTGATTGACCGTCATCTTGAACTTCTTCCATTTTCTAATAATTGCGCCAGCAGTTGTTGCCTTCTCACCAAGCTACTTGCCTATTGTCCTGTAGACCATCCCAGCCTTGTGCAGGTCTACAATTGTATCCCTGATGTCCTTACACAGCTCTCTGGTCTTGGCCATTGTGGAGAGGTTGGAGTCTGTTTGATTGAGTGTGTGCACAGGTGTCTTTTATACAGGTAACGAGTTCAAACAGGTGCAGTTAATACAGGTAATGAGTGGAGAACAGGAGGGCTTCTTAAAAGAAAAACTAACAGGTCTGTGAGAGCCGGAATTCTTACTGGTTGGTAGGTGATCAAATACTTATGTCATGCAATAAAATGCAAATTAATTACTTAAAAATCATAAAATGTGATTTTCTAGATTTTTGTTTTAGATTCCGCCTCTCACAGTTGAAGTGTACCTATGATAAAATTACAGACCTCTACATGCTTTGTAAGTTGGAAAACCTGCAAAATCGGCAGTCTATCAAATACTTGTTCTCCCCACTGTATATATATTATTTTATGCACAGATTTGACTGTACTGTAGGCCCACGTTGAAATCGAGCCAACGTTGCTTGAATTTGGCCTGAAAATGTGCAATTAATTTAGATGTTTCATAAGAATGTTTGATTAAGGCTATAGAAAAAAGGAAGTATGCAAGAACAAGAGGATTTTGTAACATAGAATGTTGTAACAAAGAATAATGGTAAGGATCATTTTCCAAACATCGTCCTCAAATAAGGTTTTAGGTAGGCTATAAATCTTAGTTTTTGTTAATATTATTATTTGTGTAGGCCTACTTGACTTACATTTTACTGCATTGTTAGGAGCCAGTAACATAAGCATTTCGCTGCACCTGCTATAACATCTGCTAAACTGTGAACGCGACTAATACACTTTTATTTGATTTAGGTATAAACCAGTTCCAAGTGGCATTGTTTATCGTCTATACAAGCACACAGTACAGGTAGGCTAACTGCCAAAATAATGGAAACACTTGACTAAATGAGGGTTCTGGCGGCTCGGTTATGGTGGTTGGGTGCATTTACTTGGCATGGTTTAGGTTCACACAACCCCTTAGAGGGCAAGGTAAACGCTATTAAATACACAGACATTCTGTATGGTGAATCTTTCTATCCTGATGGGAGTGGATGACAATACCCCCATCCACAGGGCCCGAGTGGTCACTGAATGGTTTGGATGAGCATGAACACGATGTAAACCATATGCCATGGCCATTTACGTCACCAGATCTCAACCCAATTGACCACGTATGGGAGATTCTGGAGCAGCGCCTGATACAATGTTTTCCACCACCATCAACAAAACACCAAATTATGGCATTTCTCTTGGAAGAATGGTGTTGCATCCTTTCAATAGAGTTCCAGATACTTGTAGAATTTATGCCAAGGCGCATTGAAGCTGTTCTGGAAGCACGTGGTGGCCCAACCACCTATTAAGACAATTTATGTTGGTGTTTCCATTATTTTTGGCAGTTAGCTGAATGGTGGTTTTATTACCATGAAATAATTATATAATTATAGCCTACTGAAATTAAAGGGGTCTGGGCCATTTACCATTCATGTTTTCATCAAGTAAATAGGCTATGCATTTTTACCATGTTATTAATTATTATAGACCCCTTTCCGCACCCTTTTTGGCTGTGGGTGACTTCATCGTCTGGGACATGGATTGGTGGAACGGACCATATCACGCCCACGTGACCCCTCTTTCTTGGAATGTTCCTGGAAAGACGAGCGCTCCGTTAACAAGGAAAACTAGGAAAGGAAACATTGTAAAAAGAAAAAAACTCAGTGCCCAGACACTACACTGGTACAGAGTGCACACTGATAGACTGACAGGTCGTGCATTTAGAGGGCAGCTCGTGACATATTGTGGATTGTTTGTTGAATATATTCCTGAAAATATCATAGATCATGCAGGATACAAAACAAGTACTCCAGATCTTTCGTTGCGCTGTGTCGCTCAAGACTTCAGTTTGAATTGCTGAGGACATGAGCTGTTTAACCAGTGCAGGTAAAATGAATGATCAGTTGCAGCAGCCAAATATATATGTTCTGCTTTATTTAATGTATGTTGTCCAAGACAGGAGAAGCCTAATTGTCATGCGGTTTATATGCCAAAAAGTGGTTTATGCGCCAAGAAGACGTGAGTTGAGAGATTCGGCATCATGTTTTGTTCGCAGCATTTAGCCAATGAATATTTTTTTTATACAATCACATCACACTTTACTCAACATATTCGTAAGTAGTAGGCTACTGAATCTCATTGCATGTTCTATATTGTCTATCGACGATGAAGACTGTGTTTGTCTATAGGATGTATCAAGACAACCGTTCCGCAAACTAGACCACTTTCATGTAGAATGGTGAAACATTGAAATAAACTGTGAAAAACGTGAAATATTCCTAATTAGTGTCATTTGGTTCTAGGAGTTAGGCTGCAGAAGATCTTCTGAATAGGCTATTTCAAGGGTTAGACCTCTGGGGATTCCAAGTACGCACTCAGGCTCGTTAAGGTGAGAAATAGCCCACTTTCAAATAGGCCTAGATGTGAGCATATACAACTTTAGTCTAAGACATACTGTATTTTCCAGTAAGATTTGTCCAACGACCATAATATTAGAACGCATAGGCTATTCAACACAGCAAATTATTCAAATAATGTAGTGATGCTAACACAGGTTAATATATAGGGCTAGGCGTCACAGTGTCTGGCTTTTGGAAATTCTTTATATCATTTTTATAGAACTGATTAGGCCCCTATCCATTTTTATGTGTGACATTTAGTTGATTTGTGTATCTGTTTGCGTTCTTTTTAAGACTTTGGATGGGTTACACACAGCTGCGTGTCTGAAATAGTGGACAGTGACTCCTACCAGACCTCGGGTCGACAACAGATTGAGAACCATCGGATGCCCAAATCCTCCGGTGTACCATCGCCTTCAGGCCCAATGATTATTCCGACCAGTGCCCCCAACAAATCCCTCAATGCAGTCCGGCTAAAGGACACCGAGCTGGAACCACGTCGAATTGAGTCAAGAGAGAATGCCTCACGGTTGCAAAGAGCCATGTCTCACCTTCAGGAGTCAGGTTAGCATATTTTCGTTATTGCAGGCCTACATTTCGATTTATGGACTATTTCAGTCAGCTGTCTGTGGACTTTGAACACATTTTCTGTCTCATTAGAATATTCAGACAACAACCATATTGCATTAGGCCTACAACCGATTTAAATGTCATGTTTATATTTTTTTCCCAGAATGTATATCTGACATGAATGTAGCCTAACATTTAAATTCAGATGACATTATGTAAAGAATGTTTGACAGCCTAAACGTATTGCATCTAATATTACCATCTGCATGTCCCTCTCCCTCTTGCTCATGCTCCCCTCTGTGTGTTTTGCAGGCTGGTACTGGGGCCCCATGACAGCTGCTCAGGCTAAGCAGGTTCTGATTGATGCTCCAGAGGGGACTTTCCTTTTGCGGGACAGCTCCTACCAGGGCTACCTCCTCACCCTGTCTGTGAAGACCAGCCTTGGCCCCACACACCTCCGCATAGAGCATGCCACTGGCATGTTTGGCTTCGACTCTGTAATTGTGGCACGGCCACGACTGCGGCAGTTTGAGGGTGCTGTAGATCTGGTGCAGCACTATGCCCTGACTTACAAGCATCTGGCAAGTCAAAAGGATGGACTCAGGGCTCAAAATGACACAGGGGGGGGTAACCCTTTGGCCCCTACAGAGAAAACTCTGCAGCTCAAGCTCACCCGGCCCCTCCATAAAGTCTCCCCTAGTCTCCAGCACCTTTGCCGCATCACTATTAACCAACATTCTCGCTGTCACCAAGACTTACCCTTGCCTAGGCGGCTACAGGACTTTTTGCTGGAATACCCTTTTGTGCTGTAGGAAATGTTAATCAGATTTTTTGATACTCCTGAATTAGACAATTTCGATCAATGTCCTAATATAGTGCTGAAAATGGGCTTTCCTTTTCCCCCCACCTCGTCAGCTGTATACACGCTGGTTCCTAGATTACAATTTAGCAGATTTCTCTACAGATATCAGAGGCAAAATGTACCTACTTGGGGTATATTATTATTTCCTGAAATATCACCATCTTAGGTTAGTTAAACTAAATCAACAATTGAGAGTACTGAAATGGAATGCTGAAAAAAAGAACATGCAAAAGAAAATGCCAAAGGGGAATAGATAAGAGGTTTGTTATTGTTATATAAACAGTATTGAAGAAAGATTATTGCATTAGAAATGGACCACATTAATTAAAAACACAATACACTATTTCAGCCAATTCCCCTCATACCATGGCTGTTATTGTGGAGGATTTTTAATGAATATCAATCATGAAGATTTCCAGATTTCCTTGCTGAAAAGGTGGCTGATCTGAGTGTCCTATCCATTCCCATTTTTTCTGAATCCTGAAGTGTAACTTGGTTATTATCAAGGCTGTGTAGTTTCAGCTGATCTCACTAACTTTTCGTTTTTTTGAAGACTGTCATTGTGCTAAATCAATATCAGGTCTAAATTAGGTTTCCTTATAGATCTTTGATATGCTGAAATAACCATCTCTTGAACTGAGGAATAACACAATAACAAACAGCAAAATGCTGCTTGTGAAGCTTCCTCATATTCTCCAACACTGCCTTATTTATAAATGAGAGTGCGCTTTCTATCATGGTTTATTTGCGACCATTTTGCAGAGCCATTTCGATATGACATTGATCTGTTTTCATCTGTGACAGTAGCCAAATTAACTCCATTAATATTGTTGTTATTTTTTATGATGATCACTGGTCTATGTCTCAAGGTCGGGGGAATTGGCCAATTGAAACAATGTAAGAATGTAATGTGAGAGAGTGTTGCATGTTTTCTATTTTTTTGTGGTTATACTTTGGTTAAGTTGTTTTACAGGGAGCATTAAAATCTTGTGTTGGTTAAAAAAAAATCACTGTCTCTGTTTGTTTATCATTTTGGACTTGAGGGAATATGATTAAATATAGAATTGTTGTTTTTAATCATTAGACTGAATACGTTCCAGAACATTTTAGTTACTATAAGCCTCGCATGGGAGGCTACAATAAACCAAATAAACCTAGAAGATATGCAAAATGAATGGACCATTATTTGTGTTTCCATGAAATGTTCTGCTTTTTAAATGTGAAAATCAAGTATAAGCCTCATCTATTTATTTTGCCACAGAGCAATTTCATTTTTGTAGATAAGCCATTTTGTCGTAGAAATGTGATATTTTATAACTGCCTATTTTATAGCTGTCCCCGTATCTGCCTCTTGAGAATGATTGAGAATAGCAAAGGTGCATTTTAACAGTATTTTGATTAATCCCTTGACCTGGTTTGCTCAGCTTCAGCTCACCGCTCTTTCAAGGAAAGGAAAGACAGGGGAAAATGCAGTACTCTTTGAGGAAACCATAGAAACTACAAACAATAGTGTGTGTGCATGGAGGGGGGGGGTGGATTCTGCAATTGTAAGCCCTCTTTTACCTTCCCAGAATGATTAAGCCTGTTTCTGTTTGACCCCATGTTCACCCACAGACTCTTTGTGAAGGTTCTCTGGTGTTTCCTTTCATTTCAACGTGGACATTCATTGAATATTGTACAAAAACAATCTCCCCACTCCCAGCTTACGTCATTACAGAGAGATACTGCAAGTGTGCACAGAGAAGGTTGGGGCTTATGCTGTAGTAATATGATATCTCACTAATGCAGAGGTGTGTGTGTGTGTGTCTGAGTGTGTCTGTGTGTCTGTTTTTGTTGAGCCCATTGAATGACTCACCATTCCTGGAATGAAGATTCCCGAAGGCTGCTGCGCCCACAACTCACCCCCAGCTGATTCTCACTCAAAGAGAGCTGAAGAGAGAGAGAGCTGAAGAGAGACAGACAGACAATGAAAGAGAGGGATAATATCATTTTGAACAATCACTTTTTCATGCCATTTTCATAACAGTTTGCCATATTCATTCATGGCTTCTGTTTTTGTCTCATCAAACATCTTTATTACAGTTATTTTTTATCATTGTTACACATTCTTACTTCCCAGTAAGGGACTTCCTTAGAGGACCCTGACCTTGAACATACAGTGAGGGAAAAAGTATTTGATCCCCTGCTGATTTTGTACGTTTGCCCACTGACAAAGAAATGATCAGTCTATAATTTTAATGGTAGGTTTATTTGAACAGTGAGAGACAGAATAACAACAAAACAATCCAGAAAAACGCATGTGAAAATTTTTATAAATTGATTTGCATTTTAATGAGGGAAATAAGTATTTGACCCCCTCTCAATAAGAAAGATTTCTGGCTCCCAGGTGTCTTTTATACAGGTAACGAGCTGATATTAGGAGCACACTCTTAAAGGGAGTGCTCCTAATCTCAGCTCGTTACCTGTATAAACGACACCTGGGACCCAGAAATCTTTCTTATTGAGAGGGGGTCAAATACTTATTTCTCTCATTAAAATGCAAATCAATTTATAACATTTTTCACATGCGTTTTTCTGGATTGTTTTGTTGTTATTCTGTCTCTCACTGTTCAAAAAAACCTACCATTAAAATTATAGACTGATCATGTCTTTGTCAGTGGGCAAACGTACAAAATCAGCAGGGGATCAAATACTTTTTTCCCTCACTGTAATGTACTGTTCTGTAAATTATTGAAATAGTATGATTCATGAAAATACATTTCATTACATTTTTATTATAGATTGAATAAACACCAATATAACATTTTCTTCAGAGTTCATCCTCTTACTCCGGTGAAGAAGTGGTCTTTAGAACTGCCCAAATAATCACATTATTCTAGTTTCAAATCACGCACAAACAGCAGAGCAACAAGTCGATGTACAGTAAATGTCCATGCCCTGAATTAATTTAGGTTTACCTAGACCCACAAGTAAAAATATGATTTCATCTCCCCAGGACCAACATGAGTGGAGGTCTCACATTAGGACAAACTTGCTCAGTGCCAAATATGATTGCTTTTTACTTTCTCCATCCTCTCAAAATGCTTCATAAACAGGTGTAGACTAACAGGCCCTTCCCAACAATGCAGATAGAAACCTTTAGAAAAATAAATAAATAACACAAGGAATAAATACACAATGAGTAACGATAACTTGGCTATATACACGGGGTACCAGTACCGAGTTGATGTGCAGGGGTATGAGGTAGATACTGTATGTACATATAGGTAGGGATAAAGTGACAGGTAACAGGATAGATAATAAACAGTAGCAGCAGTGTCTGTGATGAGTCAAAAGAGTTAGTGCAGAAAGGGTCAATGCAGATAGTCCGCATAACTATTTGGTTAATCATTTCACTATTTAGCAGTCTTATGGCTTGGGGGTAGAAGCTGTTCAGGGTCATGTTGGTTCCAGACTCGGTGCATCGGTACCGCTTCCCGTGCAGTAGCAGAGAAAACAGTCTATGATTTGGTGGCTGGAGTCTGACAAGTTTTAGGGCCTTCCTCTGACACCGCCTGGTATAGAGGTCCTGGATGGCAGGGAGCTCATCCGCAGTGATGTACTGGGCCGTACACACTACCGTCTGTAGTACCTTGTGGTCGGATGCCAAGCAGTTGCCATACCAAGCGGTGACGCAGCCAGTCAAGATGCTTTCAATTGTGCAGCTGTATAACTTTTTGAGGATCTGAGGGCCCATGTCGAATCTTTTCAGCCTCCTGAGGGGGAAGAGCCCCATATAGCTCAGTTGGTAGAGCATGGCGTTTGCAACGCCAGGGTTGTGGGTTTGATTCCCACGGGGGGCCAGTATGAAACATGTATGCATTCACTAACTGTAAGTCGCTCTGGATAAGAGCGTCTGCTAAATGACTAAAATGTGAATGTAAAATGTAAGAGGCGTTGTCGTTCCTTCTTCACGACGGTGTTGGTGTGTGTGGACCATGATAATTCCTTGGTGATGTGGACACAGAGGAACTTGAAGCTCTTGAACCGCTTCACTATAGCCCTGTCGATGTGGATAGGGGCATGCATGGCCATCTGTTTCTTGTAGTCCATGATCAGTTTGAAAATGTCAGTGAAGACACTGGTCAGCGCATGTTCTGAGTACGCGTCCTGGTAATCCATCTGGCACTGCGGCTTTGTAAACGTTAACCTGTTTACTGACATCGGCTACGGAGAGCGAGATCACACAGTTGTCCGGAACATCTGGTGCTCTCATGCATGGTTCAGTGTTGCTTGCCTCGAAGCAAGCAAGCATAGAAGGCATTTAGCTTGTCTGGTAGGCTTGCGTCACTGAGCAGCTCACAGCTGGGTTTCCCTTTGTAATCTGTAGTAGTTTGCAAGCCCTGCCACATCTGACGAGCGTCAGAGCCAGCGTAGTAGGATTCGATCTTAGTCCTGTATCAACGTTTGGACTGTTTGATTGCTCGTCGGAGGTCGTAGCGGGATTTCTTATAAGCGTCGGAATTAGTGTCCTGCTCCTTGAAAGCGGCAGATCTAGCCTTTAGCTCAATGCAGATGTTTCCTGTAATCCATGGCTTTTGGTTGGGATACAGTGCAATCGTAAAGTATTCAGACCCCTTGACTTTTTCCAAATTTTGTTACGATACAGCCTTATTCTAAAATGGATTAAAAAAAAACACATATCCTCATCAATCTGCACACAATACCCCATAATGACAAAGCAAAAACAGTTTTATTTTTTATTTTAGCAAATGTATTTTTTTTTTAAGAAACTGAAATATTACATTTACATAAGTATTCAGACCCTTTACTTTGTTGAAGCACCTTTGGCAGCAATTACAGCCTTGAGTCTTCTTGGGTATGACGCTACAAGCTTGGCACACCTGTATTTGGGGAGTTTCTCCCATTCTTCTCTGCAGATCCTCTCAATCCTGAGTGGCACAGTGGTCTAAGGCACTGCATCGCAGTGCTAACTGTGCCCCTAGAGATCCTGGTTCGAATCCAGGCTCTGTCGCAGCCGGCCGCGGGCGGCGCACAATTGGCCCAGCGTTGTCCAGGGTAGGGGAGGGAATGGCCGGCAGGGATGTAGCTCAGTTGATAGAGCATGGCGTTTGCAACGCCAGGGTTGTGGGTTCGATTCCCACTGGGGGCCAGTAAAAAAAACAACAAAAAACATGTATTCACTAACTGTAAGTCGCTCTGGATAAGAGCGTCTGCTAAATGACTAAAATGTAATGTAAATGTAAGCTCTGTCAGGTTGGATGGGGAGCATCGCTGCACAGCTATTTTCAGGTCTCTCCAGAGATGTTCGATCAGGTTCAAGTTCGGGCTCTGGCTGGGCCACTCAAGGACATTCAGAGACTTGTGCCGAAGCCACTCCTGCGTTGTCTTGGCTGTGTGCTTAGGGTCGTCCTGAGCGCTCTGTAGCAGGTTTTCATAAAGGATCTCTCTGTACTTTGTTCTGTTCATTTTTCCCTCGATCCTGACTAGTCTGGCCACTCTACCATAAAGGCCTGATTGGTGGAGTGCTGCAGAGATGGTTGTCCTTCTGGAAGGTTCTCCCATCTCCACAGAGGAACACTGGAGCTCTGTCAGAATGACCATCGGGTTTTTGGTTAACTCCCTGACCAAGGCCCTTCTCCCCCGATTGCTCAGTTTGGCCAGGCAGCAGCTCTAGGAAGAGTCTTGGTGGTTCCAAACTTCTTCCATTTAAGAATGATGGGGCCACTGTGTTCTTGAGGACCTTCAATGCTGCAGACATTATTTGGTACCCTTCCCCAGATCTGTGCCTCGACGCAATCCTATCTCGGAGCTCTATGGACAATTCCTTCCACCTCATGGCTTGGTTTTTGCTCTGACATGCACTGTCAGCTGTGGAACCTTATATAGACAGGTGTGTGCCTTTCCAAATCATGTCCAGTCAATTGAATTTACCACAGGTGGACTCGAATCAAGTTGTAGAAACATCTCAAGGATGATCAATGGAAACAGGATGCACCTGAGATCAATTTCAAGTCTCATGGCAAAGGGTCTGAATACTTATATAAATAAAGTATTTCAGTTTTTATTTTTAATACAGTTGTAAAAAAATCTAAAAACAGGTTTTTGATTCGTCATTATGGGGTATTGTGTGTAGATTGATGAGGATTTTTATTTATTTAATCAATTTTAGAATAAGGCTGTAACGTAACAAAATGTGGAAAAAGTCAAGGGGTCTGAATACTTTCCGAATGCACTGTATATACGTACGGTCACTGTGGGGACAACGTCGTCGATGCACTTATTAATGAAGCTTGTGACTGATGTGGTAAACTCCTCAATATTATCGGGTGAATCCCAGAACATATTCCAGTCTGTCCTAGCGAAACAGTCCTGTAGCTTTCTCCATCCCCAACCAAGAACACATCTTTTTCCTAACGTTCACCATAAGCCACCATGGTCTACCTACTCTATGGCTCACACTATACATGTTTGTTTTCCCCCAATTTTGACAAAGCATTGTCCATTATCCGCCATGTGTATTCTCTCATTGTGTCTGCCTGTAGTTATTGGTATTAATTACCAAACAGGCATCACATGACCCAACTGTCATGTATCTCCATCCCTCTTTCCCCATTTGCAATATCATTTCCTCATTTTCTCTGAACTGGCTGCCTATGAAACAGACAGAGAGACATCTGTTTTCATGAGCTTGTTCTCTGTTTTCTAGGGCCTAGTGAGGGGAGGGGACTGGTGGTGCAGAGCCGGAGGGAGGGTGGGAGAGGGATGCGCAAATGCAGCTGCTCTCTGAAAAAATTGAACTGCAATTCCGGCAGTCTTTTTTCCTGGAAGGAGGAAAAAGCTGTGAAATTCCACTCTCTCACTGCTCCCACCACCTCTTCCAGCCCCCTTCCCCCATACATTCCTAGCCCAGGCCCTCATACATGCATACGTAAACAACTCCAACTCTGCCACCAAATGCTAAACAAGGCACACAAAGGCATTTCCACCGCAATATGACCAGTGAAAATAAATCAATATTGTTGCATTTGATTGGGCTCTGGAGTTTTTCTTGATCCTATTGATCCTAGCCAGAAAAAAAAACTCTGGGCCATAGTCGATAGATGTTCAATTCCACCCTTACAACTAAATCTTAACCCACCATACAACTATCCCCCAAAAATGAAAACTAAACAATACATACTAGTATACAAAATAGTATACTTTATGTGGCTATGACAGTACTTAAATGCTGTACAGTATGAGTTTTGCGACACCTACCGACACATCAGGTGCATAGCTATCACTCATCCTCCGTCTGTTCCAGAGACGTTTCATTGGCTGCTTCCCTCCGTTGCTCATTGCTTGCATTCGTGGGTTGGTTTGTCAATCAAAGTGCTATTTTGTTTTCTTCCTGGTTAGCTGCACAGTGACAGAGGAGCAACAACATTCGGTGAGTGTTCATTTCAACTACTTTTCTAATCAAGGTAAATTGGACACATAATTTAGAGCTAGCAATGTGGTTATCCGCAGTGATACTCTTCTAAGACACTTGCAATTATTAAGCCAAAGATCAAAATAACTTGAGCTGCGCCAGCCAAAAGCTGTGCTGCGACACCCAGGTAGCTAGAGCTGCTCGATTCAGCAAGCTAAACGCACGATGCATGACATTGTTTGCATAACAACTTTAACGAACCAAGAAATATAGAGAATAGGCTAGCTATCATCGGATTAGTAGTAGTGGCTAGTAGGTAGAAAGCCATCATACAACCCAGTGTCGTGACTCGTGGTGGTGGCCAGCAGCAGCAGCTTTTTTGCTTGTTCACGTGTGTCGCGCTGCGCAGATTCGCTCAATTCTTCTTATCTGAATATTTAAATTATTTGTTTGAGTGTTAGTTCGTTAAATCAGAGCCCAACCTGAGCGGCATTTTACCCAAGTCCATCCATATGGATATTGTGTGGCTCACTTGACTATAGAATTGTAGGGAATATCCAAATCGAGTACCACAGTATGAGTCATAATACCCATAAAACCTAGCGGTCAAACAAGGAAACGGTTCCAATCTTTATTTCCACCATTCATTTTCCCATAGGGGATTTTAAAAGTAGTTAAAATAAGGGCTGTGTTTCGTGTAGGCTTACCCTGGCATGATGTTTCAATAACCGTGTAAGTCTCTCTAGGTCAAGGAGACTTATCAATATTTTCACCTGTATTTACCCCCCAAAATGAAAGGCTAATTAGCTTCTAATGTGGCTATCATAAAGAACTACAAATGCCATGATGATCTGGACGAGACTGCCGAATCGAGGCAAAGGTAAGAATCTCTGGATTAACTATCTAATGTTAGCTAAATTTAGTAATGAATAAATTGGCTAAATTCCTTTTTAAATGGGCAATTCTGTAAACTGTCTTGTGCAAGTTTGAAATTGACACTACCTGTTAGCAAAGGTGTCAGCTAGAGATGACGTGCAGGAGCTTGCAGGGATTTGTAGACTTGCATGATGTCTACTTTGATGCTAATTAACATTTTCAAATCTAAGAGTAAATAGAGCTGAATATATTGATAAAAGTCACCTTGTCCAAGAGAGATTTACATGGTTATCAAAGCGTCACGCCAGGGTAAGCCTACACGAAACACAGCCCTTTTTAAAAAGTGTTTCTAATTCCCTATGGGAAAAATGAATGGTGGAAAAACGATTGGAACCATTTCCCTGTTTGACCGCTAGGTTTTATGGGTATTATGACACCTCCACTGAAGGGAACTATGTGACTTCTATTATTGGCCATATAAATCTCACAGAAAAGTTGTGATACAGCCTGGGATCGAACCTGGGTCTGTAGTGACGCCTCTAGCACTGCAATGCAGTGCCTTAGACCGCTGCACCACTCGGTCATCTATCTATAGATAAATGCCAACTGAAAGCTACTGGCCCAAATGAAAAGTATACTGTCCCGAATGAAAATAATACTGGCTCGGAAAAGCGGATGATTCGCGCATAATTTCTATTTTATCTTTAATCTGCGGTCATAGCCTATAAAGGAGTAGTTCACTATTTTACAACTTGAAGTTAGATGGTTCCTCACCCTGTGGGCCAAGAGAAACTGTAATCAATCCATGGTTCAGTTTTCTTTAAACAGCAACTACAAACTTCAGCTAACATTAGCCACCACAAGCTAACAATCAATGGAAGTGATGGGGGCATGTGAGCATGTTAAAGATGCCCTCAGATTAAAGATAAAATAGAAATTATGCGCGCATCATCCGCTTTCCTGGGCCAGTATTATTTTCATTCAGGCCAGTAGCTTTCAGTCGGCACTCCTTTTAAAGCTGCAATATGTCTTTTTAGGCGACCAACCCACTTTACATAGAAATGTGAGATATCGATCTGTCATTCTCATCGAAAGCTAGTCTAAGAAGCGGTATATCTGTTCAATGTGCGCTATTTCTATGCTTCCCATTCTTAAGTTTCATTTTTGCGTCTTTTACTTTCGATTTTGTACACCAGCTTCAAACAGCTGAAAATATAATATTGGTTATGGAAAATATATTTCACAGTGGTTTAGATGGTACAATGATTCTTTATACTATACTTGCTTGTTTTGCCACACAAACTGATATTAAGCAACTATTAGAATTTTAGCAAAATAAAACATTTGTGCAATATCAAAAAGGGTGTTATTGTTTGCGATTTAGTCAGCAGTCTATAGTTGTAGGGCCCTATAAAATCTGTTTTATATTTTGCTCAATTCTGTTTTCCTGGGTTTGTTTTTCCAGGTTGCTGTGTTTTCCTTGTTTTTTCAGGTTTTCACTATCAAAATCACACTTTTTTAATAGAAAAAACAAGACATTTGTTTTTATAAGTCCACAACAATGCTTTAACCACATCAGGAAACCATTTTTGAGGTCTGGGAACAATAAATATATAAAAAAGTTTCTTTGCGGATGTAGTTGCCCTTTAATTCAGCACCTAGCAAGAGACAGTTGTTTGGCTAGCTGTGTTTTTGTACTGTACAGTGTAGGCTACATGTGATGGCAGAAGTTGTAAAACGAATGTCCCGCGATTGATACAAATCATCATGATATCGTTCTGCCAGGTATGCCTACTTTGCAGTCAACATTTAATTGGGAAGGTTTTTTGGGAAAGCCTTTAGAAATGTTCATTCAAACAGGGCAGGATGACTGAATTGAGCATTGCAAAGATTCAACCAAGACTTTGGACCAAACTTTTTGAATACCTAGTTTGCATACGCATTGTTGCCTAAGCATTTCCTGGTAAATATAAGTTGAAACATCTTTCCTACCTACCATACACCACTCTCGTTCTTCAGTCTGTCGGCTTGGCCCCTAAGACCCTCATGAACTTCTACAGATGCACCATTGAGAGCATCCTGTAGGGCTGTATCACCGCCTTGGGCGGTAACTGCACCGTCCGCAAACGCAGGGTTCTCCAGTGCCCAACACATCACCGGGGGCACACTGCCTGCCCTCCATGACATTTACAGCACCCGGTGTCACAGGAAGGCCAAGAAGATCATCAAGGACCTCAGCCACCCGAGCTACGGCCTGTTCACCCCGCTACCATCAAGAAGGCGGAGCTGAGAGACTGAAAAACAGCTTTTACCTCCAGGCCATCAGACTGTGGAATGGTCACCACTAGCCTTAGTCACTATTCTAGCCGGCTACCACCTGATACTCTACCCTGCACCTTAGAGACTACTGCCCTATTTACATAGTCATTGAACACTGGTCACTTGAAAAATGTTTGCATAGTGTTTTAGCAACTTTATATGTATATACTGTATTCTATATAACTACTGCTGTACACACCTTTTCTATTCATATATATACATTAGATGTATATATATTTATATTCCGCTCTCTGACATTGCTCGTTCTGATATTTCTTAATTTTCTGGATTATGTGTGTATTGTTTGTTTCTTTTTATTTCTAGATATTACTGCACTGTTGGGGCGAGAAACACAAGCATTTTGCTGCACCTGCTATAACATCTGTGTACCTGTGGTCCTCTGTAGCTCAGCTGGTAGAGCACGGCGCTTGTAACGCCAAGGTAGTGGGTTCGATCCCCGGGACCACCCATACACAAAAAAAAAAAATGTATGCACGCATGACTGTAAGTCGCTTTGGATAAAAGCGTCTGCTAAATGGCATATTATATTATTATTATTACCTGACCAATAAACTTTGATTTGATTTGAGCTGCTCCATGTGACAACCATTTGAGAGCTGCGCGCTCTTGCTACCCGTAAGATTATTCAGCTCAAACTAGGTTGTGTGTGGGCGCGTGTGATTTATAATCTACATAACAAACTAACAGCTTCAGGAATTCGTCTGTTTTTTCATCAATTATATACAGTAGCCTAGATTGAAAAAGAGCATTATTACAATATTTTTTTCACTTGCCCAAGCGGGCCACTGACGTGGATGATTGACTGGCCCGGAGGGTTTCCAAAACATCCCCGGGCCAGCGGGCAGCCCTGTATGTTCGAATCAAATCAAATTGTATTTGCCACATGCGTCAGTGAAATGCTTACTTACAAGCCCTTAACCAACAATGCCGTTTTTATATATAAGTGTTAAGTAAAAAATAGATAAATAAAAATAATTAAAGAGCAGCAGTAAAATATAATAACAGTAGGTAGGCTATACACAAGGGGTACCGGTACAGAGTCAATGTGTGGGGGCACAGGTTAGTCGAGGTAATTGAGGTAATATGTACATGTGGGTAGAGTTAAAGTGACTATCCACAGATAATAAACAGAGAGTAGCAGCAGCGTAAAAGAGGGGGTGGGGTGAGGGGGACAATGCAAATAGTCTGGGTAGCCATGATTAGCTGTTTAGGAGTCTTATGGCTTGGGGGTAGAAGATGTTAAGAAGCCTTTTGGACCTAGACTTGGCGCTCCGGTACCGCTTGCCGTGCGGTAGCAGAGAGAACAGTCTATGACTAGGGTGGCTGGAGTCTTAGACACATTTTAGGGCCTTCCTCTAACACCGCCTGGTATAGAGGTCCTGGATGGCAGGAAGCTTGGCCACAGTGATGTACTGGGCCGTATGCACTACCCTCTGTAGTGCCTTGCGGTCGGAGGCCATACCAGGTGGTGATGCAACCAGTCAGGATGCTCTCGATGGTGCAGCTGTATAACTTTTTGAGGATCTGAGGACCCATGCCAAATCTTTTCACTCCTGAGGGGGTAGGCTTTGTCGTGCCCTCTTCACGACTGTCTTGGTGTGTTTGGACCATGATAGTTTGTTGGTGATGTAGACACCAAGGAACTTGAAGCTCTCAAACTGTTTTAACTGCAGCCCCGTCGATGAGAATGGGGGCATGCTCAGTCCTCTTTTTTTCCCCTGTAGTCCACAATCATCTCCTGTGTCTTGATCACGTTGAGAGAGAGGTTGTTATCCTGGCACCACACGGCCAGGTCTCTGACCTCCCTATAGGCTGTCTCATCGTTGTTGGTGATCAGGCCTAACACTGTTGTGTCGTCAGAAAACTTAATGATGGTGTTGGAGTCGTGCCTGGCCATGCAGTCATGGGTGAACAGGGAGTAATAATAATAATAATAATAATAATATGCCATTTAGCAGACGCTTTTATCCAAAGCGACTTACAGTCATGCGTGCATACATTTTTGTGTATGGGTGGTCCCGGGGATCGAACCCACTACCTTGGCGTTACAAGCGCCGTGCTCTACCAGCTGAGCTACAGAGGACCACAGTACAGGAGGGGACTGCGCCACACCCCTGAAGGGCCCCCGTGTTGAGGATCAGCGTGGCAGATGTGTTGTTACCTACCCTTACCACCTGGGGGCGGCCCATCAGAAAGTCCAGGATCCAGTTGCAGAGGGAGGTGTTTAGTCCCAGGGTCCTTAGCTTAGTGATGAGCTTTGTGGGGTTGGTGTTCCTCTTGTCCAGGTGGGAAAGGGCAGTGTGGAGTGCAATAGAGATTGCATCATCTGTGGTTCTTTTGGGGCGGTATGCAAATTGGAGTGGGTCTTGTGTTTCTGGGATAATGGTGTTGATGTGAGCCATGACCAGCCTTTGAAAGCACTTCATGGCTACAGACGTGAGTGCTACGGGTCGGTAGTCATTTAGGCAGGTTATCTTCGTGTTCTTGGGCACAGGGACTATGGTGGTCTGCTTGAAACATGTTGGTATTACAGACTCAGTCAGGGACATGTTGAAAATGTCAGTGAAGACACTTGCCAGTTGGTCAGCGGATGCTCGGAGTACAAGTCCTGGTAATTCGTTTGGCCCTGCGGCCTTGTGAATGTTGACCTGCTTAAAAGTTGTACTCACATCGGCTACGGAGAGCGTGATCACATAGTAATCTGGAATAGCTGATGCTCTCATACATGCTTCAGTGTTGCTTGCCTCGAAGCGAGCATAGAAGTGATTTAGGTTGTCTGGTAGGCTCGTGTCACTGGGCAGCTCGCGGCTGTGCTTCCCTTTGTAGTCTGTAATAGTTTTCAAGCCCTGCCACATCCGACGAGCTTCGGAGCCGGTGTTGTACAATTCAATCTTAGTCCTGTATTGCCTCTTTGCCTGTTAGATGGTTCGATAGAGGGCATAGCGGGCTTTCTTATAAGCGTCCGGGTTAGAGTCCCTCTCCTTGAAAGCGGCAGCTCTACCCTTTAGCTCAGGGCGAATGTTGCCTGTAATCCATGGCTTCTGGTTGGGGTATGTACGTACGGTCACTGTGGGGAAGATGTCATCGATGCACTTATTGATGAAGCCAGTGACTGATGTGGTGTACTCCTCAATGCCATCGGAAGAATCTCGGAACATATTCCAGTCTGTGCTAGCAAAACAGTCCTGTAGTTTAGCATCTGCGTCATCTGACCACTTCCTTATTAACCGAGTCACTGGTGCTTCCTGCTTTAATTTTTTGCTTATAAGTAGGAATCAGGAGGATAGAATTATGGTCAGATTTGTCAAATGGTGGGCGAGGGAGAGCTTTGTACGCGTCTCTGTGTGTGGAGTAAAGGTGGTCTAGAGTTTTTTTCCTCTGGATGCACATTTCATATGCGAGTAGAAATTAGGTAGAATGGATTTAAGTTTCCCTGCATTAAAGTCCCCGGCCACTAGGAGCGCTGCCTCTGGATGAGCGTTTTCCTGTTTGCTTATGGCCTTATGCAGCTCATTGAGTGCAGTCTTAGTGCCAGAATCAGTTTATGGTGGTAAATAGACAGCCATGAAAAATATAGATTAAAACTCTTTTGGTAAATAGTGTGGTCTACAGCTTGTCTTGAGATACTCTACCTCAGGTGAGCAAAACCTCGAGACTTGATTTCGTACACCAGCTATTGTTTACAAATATACACAGACTGCCACCCCTTGTCTTACCGGTGTCAGCCGTTCTATCCTGCCGATATAGCGTTTATCCCGCCAGCTGTATGTTATCCATGTCGTCGTTCAGCCACGACTCGGTGAAACATAAGATATTACAGTTTTTTATGTCCCATTGGTAGGATATCCGTGATCGTAGGTCGTCTATTTTGTCTATACTTTTTATGGTAGGTTTATTTGAACAGTGAGAGACAGAATAACAGCAAAACAATCCAGAAAAACGCATGTCAAAAATGTTATAAATTGATTTGCATTTTAATGAGGGAAATAAGTATTTGACCCCCTCTCAATCAGAAAGATTTCTGGCTCCCAGGTGTCTTTTATACAGGTAACGAGCTGAGATTAGGAGCACACTCTTAAAGGGAGTGCTCCAATATCAGCTTGTTACCTGTATAAAAGACACCTGTCCACAGAAGCAATCAATCAATCAGATTCCAAACTCTCCACCATGGCCAAGACCAAAGAGCTCTCCAAGGATGTCAGGGACAAGATTGTAGACCTACACAAGGCTGGAATGGGCTACAAGAGCATCGCCAAGCAGCTTGGTGAGAAGGTGACAACAGTTGCTGCGATTATTCGCAAATGGAAGAAACACAAAAGAACTGTCAATCTCCCTCGGCCTGGGGCTCCATGCAAGATCTCACCTCGTGGAGTTGCAATGATCATGAGAACGGTGAGGAATCAGCTCAGAACTACACGGGAGGATCTTGTCAATGATCTCAAGGCAGCTGGGACCATAGTCACCAAGAAAACAATTGGTAACACACTACGCCGTGAAGGACTGAAATCCTGCAGCGCCTGCAAGGTCCCCCTGCTCAAGAAAGCACATATACATGCCCGTCTGAAGTTTGCCAATGAACATCTGAATGTTTCAGAGGAGAACTGGGTGAAAGTGTTGTGGTCAGATGAGACCAAAATGGAGCTCTTTGGCATCAACTCAACTCGCCGTGTTTGGAAGAGGAGGAATGCTGCCTATGACCCCAAGAACACCATCCCCATCGTCAAACATGGATGTGGAAACATTATGCTTTCGGGGTGTTTTTCTGCTAAGGGGACAGGACAACTTCACCGCATCAAAGGGACGATGGACGGGGCCATGTACCGTCAAATCTTGGGTGAGAACCTCCTTCCCTCAGCCAGGGCATTGAAAATGGGTCGTGGATGGGTATTCCAGCATGACAATGACCCAAAACACACGGCCAAGGCAACAAAGGAGTGGCTCAAGAAGAAGTACATTAAGGTCCTGGAGTGGCCTAGCCAATCTCCAGACCTTAATCCCATAGAAAATCTGTGGGGGGAGCTGAAGGTTTGAGTTGCCAAATGTCATTCTCGAAACCTTAATGACTTGGAGAAGATCTGCAAAGAGGAGTGGGACAAAATCTCTCCTGAGATGTGTGCAAACCTGGTGGCCAACTACAAGAAACGTCTGACCTCTGTGATTGCCAACAAGGGTTTTGCCACCAAGTACTAAGACATGTTTTGCAGAGGGGTCAAATACTTATTTCCCTCATTTAAAATGCAAATCAATTTATAACATTTGTGACATGCGTTTTTCTGGATTTGTTTGTTGTTATTCTGTCTCTCACTGTTCAAATAAACCTACCATTAAAATTATAGACTGATCATTTCTTTGTCAGTGGGCAAATGTACAAAATCAGCAGGGGATCAAATACTTTTTTCCCTCACTGTAAATGCCTAACCAGCATGTGCATTTTTGGTCTTTTGCCTCCCTTAGGCATATTTCACACTGATTAGTGAAGGAGGAGAGACCATGTGGAAGTCACATGAACAACAAGGATGAGGCAAAAACAACTGGGAGGAAACTTGTTGAGGAGAGGACTGCTGCCGCCCAACTTCTCCCTCCGATTGGGGATTTGCTGCTTGACAGCCTAGCATCCCCTGTCCCACCCGCCACCCAAACATATGCAATGAACAGCACTACTCAGCCCCCTGCCATCATAGACAGGGATGTCGCAGTCAGCTCCGTGTTGGTACCATTCTTCCTCATTACCTTCATCGGGATAGCTGCAGCTGTGGTGAGTGGCTAACAGGGACATCACATGTTGGCCTACAGTGATACAGTTAAGAATTTCTACTTTGACGAGCTACGGCTTTAGATTATTACTTTTTTGAACCACCTTTTTTTTATTGCAGGTGATGTATGTGCGCAGGAAGAGAAGGTAACTTGCTTTTATTAATTGCTTTTATTCTCTTCCTTATTGCTCTCAGCAGGTGTATGGTTACTTCTTAAATTGGCCAACTCCTTTTGAACAATACACAGAAATCCTGCAATAATGTCCAAAAAGTGTATTTTTACATTGGTCACCATGTCACGGTATACTCCTTTCCTATTGTGTGTTTCAGAATTGACAGGCTCCGGCACCAGTTGCTTCCAGTCTATACCTATGACCCCTCAGAAGAATTACATGAAGTTGAACAGGAAATGCTGTGGAAAGAGGAAGATACTAAGGTATGATTTCACCCTCATCTTTGTCTATGAATCAATTGATAAGCTGCAGTAAGATCCCTCCCTATGTGGCACTTTTATCCCATACATACGACTAATAAAACCTACAACTTTTACAAACACTAGATGGCGACATTGGCCACGCAAAAAATAGGTATTTTTATGTAACGTCGTCACAGATGAAAGAAGGAGACGGATGTCTCACAGGATGTATACATCTGAAGTATCCATTTAGAACTTCTACTCACCACCACATATGGTGATGAGAGGAAGTCCAGTGGCGGGAGGTGTGAGAAGATGGAGCTAGATAGAATTTGGCCGACATAGTGCAAATGTTCTCATCGATGAAACATTCGATATCAATACAGTTTTCTGTTCCCAAAATTACAATATTTTATAAACAGTTTTGTAGACTTGACCCTTTGCCAATGTTTCAAGAACTTGCATTGTTTAGAAGGAGTGCAAAGGCAAATTGAGATATTGCACATTCACACTTCACAGAGAAGGCATTCACTACATGCTAAAACGCGCCAATAGGATCTCGCTAGCCCGTGCTTGACTCTGTCCACCCACCTCCTTGCTTGTTCTACATTTACATTATAGTCATTTAGCAGGCGCTCTTATCCAGAGCGACTTACAGTTAGTGCATACATTATTTAAATAAATACAAATTCATACTGGCCCCCCGTGGCGTTGCAAACGCCATGCTCTACCAACTGAGCTACATCCCTGCCGGCCATTCCCTCCCCTACCCTGGATGACGCTGGGCCAATTGTGCGCCGCCACATGGGTCTCCCGGTCGCGGCCGGCTATGACAGAGCCTGGATATGAACCAGGATCTCTAGTGGCACAGCACAGCCTTAGACCACTGCGCCACTCGGGAGGTCTGCCCACTATGCTTCATTTGCTCCTATTGGAAATGACGGTAATGAGATATCTTGGGTTAGTTGCCAGTATCTTTGATGTAGTAGTATCAAATGGAGCAGCTTGTGGCTCATCTTTGTAAAAAAATAAAGATCAGGCAAGAAAGTGGAGCTGTAGGATAATCTTTGCTCCCTTTTAGGAAGATTTTATGAATGACGATATTAACGAATGTAGACATTTATTTGAGAACTTGGTCAAATATAAAGGTAGGTTTATTTTGCGGAGATCTGGTACAACTAATTACCCTCGCTTATATGTGAATTAGAGTTCGGAGCAGTCTGACCGCACGTTGGATGCCTTTCTATCTGATTCTCCCAGAGAATTGTCACCTGACGTGCTATCGCTTTACATTTGCGCGCGGTATAAATTGCGTGTCGTCCACGTGGGGGAAAACTCTCAGAGTTGGATCTGTTGGCGCTTGAGCTGTCGTTTCCGACATGGGTGTAAGTCAATTAAGCGTTAGGCACTTTGTGGGTCACTTAAGATATTTGCACAAGGTGTTGACTTCAAATGCATGCCATATACAACAGTAATGAGGAAGATCCGACTGTCTGAGTTTATCTCAAATCTAGTATGTCTTCAGGTGGTGAAGGGTTGGGCACGGTCCTACCAGCAGCAACGTCCCCTGTTGATGAAAGATGCCCATGCATGAGTGTGTTGGAGCAGGACATCGATCTGTGCCATTCTACAGATCAGTGGAGTTAACCCTTGAGATGCCAGATTTCTCAATCATTCAACGCAAAGGGGTTTTAAGAAAGCATGATACTTGAGAACAGCCTGTCATGCCTTCGCATCATCATCTTTGTCATTACCATCATCATCATCCATCCATCAGTCATCAACATCTCTGTTGGAGCATTTACTTTGTACAGCGTCAACCTCTAAGCTAAGGGGTGGTTGGGTATTATGTGAACCTCTGATGCCCTGCCCGTGTTCCCGAAAGCTGCGCCATACACTAAACCACGACACGTTGGCTAACTACTGGTGGACATTATTTATTTGAGATTATTTATTTGTTTTTAAAAACTGTGTTTGTGTGTATGATGATGTGGGTGTTACTGAAACATTTGCCTTAATGTCTATTGTTGCTGTTTTAAGTAGTACTATACCAGTGAGATTAGCAAAGCCTTGACCTTGGGTGGGATGCTTCCCATTGTACTACTAGTTTTAGTGGTGTAAAATTAGGTTACTATGTCCCTCACTATTCAATGTCATAAGTTACACAGATGTGCAGTGAATCAATTTGAGTCCTTAAGTTACTTTATTTTTCCTGTTTGTTGCACTGTGGTAATGAATACCATTATCAAAGCAACCAAACTAATTCCTCCTCCTCGTCATCATCCAGATATGTGATGATGAAACGGTGGTCAAAAGAGAAAGCAAGATTAATTCCTGTTCTTTCTCTATTTTGTTTCACTTAAGTTGAGTTTCAAACATTACATTCAGAAAGAGGATGTGCAGAGAGAGAACCCTCTGGCTGTATCGGGGATGTCACATGATGGCCAATGAATGTAGCTAGTCAATCAGCCTCCCCTACCCTACCCCACCCACTCCTCTCCACTATTTAGCTGTGACTACTGCCCTAAACATGTCCTGTTGGGAAGACAGGGCAACAGGATGATTGTTCTTCTAGCAGAAGAATCCATTTAGAAGAATGTCATAGGCCTGACTGTATGCAGTACTCAGGAAATCTCATGTCTTTAAAAGAATGAGTGAACAGTGATTCATCCTTGAATAATGTGCTCTAGTCTAAGTTACCCACCTTTCCTCCTTGCATTTGTGAATGTCATATATTCAGGATGCAAGATGAAGGCTCCCATTGAAATCAATAATCTTATCAGCGCATGTATATGTATGTAGGAATCCACTCTAAGAATGTAAACAGGGAAATATATATCATGTATTTCAATATATTTGAATGTGAAATTGAGAATTTTGACTTGAATAATGGACCTTTTCCCTGAATGCTAACTGCTACGTGTTACGCTCCACTATTTATGATTCCCATGCACATTAAACATATAATAATGCATTTGATTGAAATGCAGAGTTTGTTCTGAAAAGAAAATACAGGATAGACTACTGATGAAAATACAAACTTTAAATGTAATTTTGATATCACTGTTATCAAGGGTTTGCACACTATTGTTCAAGACTGTGATTATTTTTGTTGCTTTTCAATTGAAGCGCTGATTTCACTGTCCATGAAGTAAACTTGTATGTATGTTAGTGAGAATATGGACTTTTTATAGATGGTCTGGATGTAAAGCAAAAATAAAATGGAAAGAGGAGTTAATAAATGTGTGTATTTATTGATCCTTTCTGGATACAAGTTGTTGCAATAAAAATATAGACATTGTACATTTAAAGACAGTGTACATTAAAAAGAATGATCCCTTCTCATTAACTTGAATGAATTACATAACATGGATGATGTTGGTACATAAGGGCATTGTACATAGTCAAAATAGTTGCAGCTGTGAATGGATATTTAATTACCGGAGTTCCACATTAACATGATACATCCCAAATGGCACCCTATTAACTATATAGTGCACTACTTTTGGCGAAGACTGTGGTCAAAAGTAGTGCACTATAAAGGGAATAGGGTGGCATTAGGAACGCATACATGGAAAAGCACCCGGTGCCAAAGCCGCACCGAGGCCTACAACGGAATAACCTGGAGAGAACACCCACAGTCTTTGTCACTAAACACACACACACGACAATCTGAATCAAGCGAACATTTCAGTGCACCAGAAGTAGGATTTATTAAAAAGATAAAACACACCGGCTAATCTACCACAGTCAGCGAACACAATTTGCAAAGCTGACAGATCTCCATGACTTTACACATCATGTGACCTGTCTCTGTACGCTCACTTTAAAAACAAAGAGGAGCAGAGGGGTGTGTGTGTGAGCACACCTTCACTAGTAGCTAGGCTAGGCAGTCGTTTTTAAAATACCAAATAACAGTCAGATTAAAAAAGACAAAAAATACACAGACTATGTAATACAAACATTTCTCGCACACATGCCAGAGTTTACATTGTACATTTGAAACCAGTTGAAGAATGCAATATGGGAAAGTTTAAAGTAAGCTGTAGTCAAGTGAGGTATGGGATTTTGGGCCTTGTCAGGCCCGTTGCAGTTTTCCGGGTTTTTATAACTGAGATTGTAGCAGCTTATAGGTTTGAGGAGAGGCCCAGTAACTGGACTGTGATCAAGATATACCTGACACTGAGAAACACAAATAAAACAACATTGTTTTTCTGGAGTAGACAGCAGACACTGACTGTATCCTCAAAGAAAGAACAGAATATTTCAACATCCTGTACAAAGTGATGACGACACACAAAAGGCCTTGTAAAGCAGTGAGAGGGGAAATGGAATGATCAGCTATTATACAGAACCATTGGATAAAACAGTGCCACAACAGTAACAATCCAGCTCCTAGTTTGGCCAACCAGTTTGTTACACAGTTCACCTAGAACTGACCAAGTGGCCACAGGTCGCAACAAATACTGTACACTGGAGGACCACATTAAGAGGAACAGCAGATGCCACAGAGTTCAATAAAAGCTTCCTGGAGTGATGAGAGAATGTAGCTCCCCAATCAATTAATCCCTACACATCCTTAAGCCATTACGACATTATTATGATGAGTTTTCGTAGACGTCAAAGCAGCACAATTACTCAGGTATTTGAGGCATGTTATGACCCAGAGGAACACGATAAAACACAATCAGTCTGATCAAATCTTTGATTAGTAACAGTACACTTTAGTTTACACAAACCTTTTCCAGTGGAGCCCCAAAGAGGCTATAGGAAGACAAGCACAAGCCACATCAGAGGCTAGTTAGGGACAGCTTATTTTGGATGGGAGGGAGGAGGAACAATTCTGCACAATCAAAGGAGTAACAGGGAGAGGTCTACTACAGAGTTTATACATGGATAAAATGTCTATAATAATATATTTAATGCTCATACTGTATTTTCTCCATATCAGCTTCTCCGCTGGTAAATAGATGTAAGGTATAGATTAACCACTTCACACTTAAAAACAGCAAGTAGAAGCAAAATTCACCTTTTGTCCAATAGAAAACAAGTGTATATGCCCCACCAGCTCAAGATACTGGTGTTAGAGAAAAAATGAGTAACACTAAGCCGAGAGAATGTCGTATACACTCTTTTGAAAGAAGCGTATCCAAAAACTCATCATCAGTATAAAATACTTGCAATACCACGACATACACATAGAGAAACGGTTGTCTGTCACCTGTACTGTTATTCTTTGATATATATGCTTGTTAAGAAACATCCATTGGTTTTCCAGTGCAGTTGCTTATAGAGGTTGGATGAACGGTATTGTTGACCCTCCTTTAGCTAGAAGGCAAGAAAGTGGACCGTAGAAAAGAGGTTGGGGTGGCACCGGTATTGGAGATTCAGTCTAGCTCTGGTTGACAGGAAGTCAGTATGTTGACTGAGGTAGCATGGGTTGCAAGTTTACTAGTCTTTCTCATCCTCCTCCTCTTCAGATGATTCCTGGGCTGCTTGTTCCTCCTTTTCCTGAAAAGACACCAAACACAGACAACCCATCTTTCTACTGGTTCACACCAAAAACATAACACACTAAGAAAAGGGGATCTGATCAAATATAAGTCACCAGAAGTGTATCAATCTTTCAACTACAATAACTGCCTTGCAATATAAACAACTATCTATTGGGAGTCTTTAGGATTTGGGAGGGACTTGTACAGTGGCCTTGCTAGAGAAAAATCTGAGTATTGAAGTGGAAGTAGGAGTGTGCATATTGACCACATCTCACTGATAAACAAAACCAGCGTGAAAGTCCCTAGAGCCCCCAGGGGAGGACTTGGTCATCTGTAGTGACTCATCTGAGTGGTGAGTCACTCACAGTGAGGCATCCTTCGCTCCCTCCCACCTTAGCTCCCCTCTACCTCAAACTCCCACCAACTCCTCCCACTCTGGCGCAGGAGAGTTCATTCATAAAAAGAGAGGCCAGTTAGGTGGGTAACTATGGGTCATTCCCCGCTGTGACTAATGCAACACAGGCTTTTGGGAGTAGGCTACACTAACCACTCGCTCTTATTTTATTTATTTAAGGCATGAGTATGCTTACAGTGGAGGCAAAGTTCGGTTGGTTTGTGCTGGATTAAACTGTACAGTTTTTTTATGATTCTGCAACAATTCCTTTATCCTAGACCATTTTTTGAAGAATGGAGTGAAATATGTGATTTATGAAATTGTAGTGAAGTCCATTAAAAAATGTCATAGACATGTATTTTCAACTATACCTAGTCGGTGTCAAAGACTCACTCAAGACAACATTTTAAGTACACGTTTTATTCTCAATGAATTCAACATGGACTTGTGCAGAAAACAATAGTAATAAAAAAAACTAAAAGGTTGGATGTGTAAATATGTAGAAAATACTATGTACATCATACAAAGCAGATACAATACAATATAAATGAAGTAAAGATGAAGGACCAGCTGATCTGTGTTTCAGATCAGTAACAGTGGTTCACTTCAGTGCAATATCGGCTCAATAACAGCAAGACAGTTTCTTTCATTTAAAAAAATGGCCGATAAAGTTTAGAACTTGACAGTTCCTCAATAGCTCTACAATATAGCATAAATAGTGATATGTCTCTCAGTCCAGTGCAGGCTTGCCAAGAGTTCCTTGAGCTCTTTCTGCTGGCTCTCAATCAGGCCCCGGAGATATACAGACTTAAAACATTTGTATAGATCTGGCCTCAAATGTAACCATAGCTTCCAGCATACGGCTTGCATGCAAACTATTCCCTAGCCTCCCTCTCGCCTGCTCAATCTTTTCACCCTGTTGTAAATACAATGAAAGCATTTTGACGACGGAAAGACAGTGCTCATAAGGGTCCTCAGCGTCTGAGGTCTCCTCTTGGGTTTGTTCTCCCTTAAAGATAAATAAATAGAAAGACATGAGTCATCATGAAAGTATAGTTACCTACAGTTAGGTACAGCTAAAGGTTATTGTTTACAACAAATGCAATACCACAAAACACCTAATGAACACATTCCCCTTAATGCAAAGCACAACTACTTCAAAACAAGCAAAACTATATTATTCAACAATCATTGCTTACCTCGTCCCAGCTGTCTTCAGAATCGCTTGAAGACGAGTCCCAAAGGTCAGGTTTTAGACCAAAATTAGCCAATTCCTCATTCAGAGCTATCAGTGCCATCTGGAATGTTTGTTGTTTCAAAGAGGACGCGACAGACTCCAGGTGTAGTTGACTTCACACCTGGTAGCTGGTTGTTGCAAACAGAAAAGGTTTAGTTGAATGTTTTAATTTGCACACAATGGTTGCCATGGTTTTTGTTGATGGTGGAAGATCAGTGGAAGATAAGCAGAAGCCACTGGAAACCCTCCCACAACTTTATTCAACCAATCACAGGGGGTGGTGGAGTTGAAGTTCGCCTGGGACGATGAGTTTGATTGTTCGTTTACGTCCTTTTGTTTCTACGAACTAGCCAAATTTCTCTGTAAACATGTTAACTTAAGACCTTCAGAATTTCTGACAGCAGTGAGCATGTGGAGGGGAACCAAACAGTGACGACTTAAGAGTGACTCAGAGTCAAGGGACGTGAATGAAGGAGGCATTAGTTAAAGATAATATTAACACCTATGATAATAAGAGCTACTCTTACCTCTTTCTTAGGTCTTCCCCTGCGTTTCATCCCTGCAGTTGAGGCTGCTGGTGCCTTCTGTAGAAATAGAGGGAAGAAAAACAAAGAATTGATCTAACTGCACAGAAACCTGCTAATCTACTCTCACTAGAGGGCACTAATACTCATATTAGGAAGCAGATGGTTTTAGGGCATTGGGTTCATTGGCTATTATCTCGGAATCTGACAGGAACTGCACACAGGGCACTCCAGTTCGCTGGCCACCTGGTCTGGGGCTCAGAGACAGCTGGTGAAATTGGGCAAGAAGAGAGGAGCCCAATTCAGATCTATCCTTGCACACAGGGTTGGGTAGGTTAGTTTCTAAATGTAATCTGTTAGTTACTAGTTACCTGTCCATCATTGTAATCAGTAATGTAAACCCATACGTTCAGTTACTTTTAGATTACTTTCACCTTAAGAAGCATTAGAAGAAGACAAAAAGGATCCATCAAATGCATTTGGTGTGTCATCATAGTGGTCTCTGACTTGTGGTCAGACTCGCTCAGGTGGGAAAAATGTAAACCTTTTTTCAATGCTGAATTGAATGTCATTGAGAAAACAGAAAGGTGATATAATGTATTTTTTTTGCAAACATCCTTTCTGAATTGAAAAGTAATCCAATAATTAATGTAGTTTTTCAAAAGCATCTGTAATCTGAATACAATATTTTACAGTGGGGGAAAAAAAGTATTTAGTCAGCCACCAATTGTGCAAGTTCTCCCACTTAAAAAGATGAGAGAGGCCTGTAATTTTCATCATAGGTACACGTCAACTATGACAGACAAAATGAGAAAAATAAATCCAGAATATCACATTGTAGGATTTTTTATGAATTTATTTGCAAATTATGGTGGAAAATAAGTATTTGGTCAATAACAAAAGTTTCTCAATACTTTGTTATATACCCTTTGTTGGCAATGACACAGGTCAAATGTTTTCTGTAAGTCTTCACAAGGTTTTCACACACTGTTGCTGGTATTTTGGCCCATTCCCCCATGCAGATCTCCTCTAGAGCAGTGATGTTTTGGGGCTGTCGCTGGGCAACACAGACTTTCAACTCCCTCCAAATATTTTCTATGGGGTTGAGATCTGGAGACTGGCTAGGCCACTCCAGGACCTTGAAATGCTTCTTACGAAGCCACTCCTTCGTTGCCCGGGCGGTGTGTTTGGGATCATTGTCATGCTGAAAGACCCAGCCACGTTTCATCTTCAATGCCCTTGCTGATGGAAGGAGGTTTTCACTCAAAATCTCACGATACATGGCCCCATTCATTCTTTCCTTTACAAGGATCAGTCGTCCTGGTCCCTTTGCAGAAAAACAGCCCCAAAGCATGATGTTTCCACCCCCATGCTTCACAGTAGGTATGGTGTTCTTTGGATGCAACTCAGCATTCTTTGTCCTCCAAACACGACGAGTTGAGTTTTTACCAAAAAGTTATATTTTGGTTTCATCTGACCATATGACATTCTCCCAATCCTCTTCTGGATCATCCAAATGCACTCTAGCAAACTTCAGACGGGCCTGGACATGTACTGGCTTAAGCAGGGGGACACGTCTGGCACTGCAGGATTTGAGTCCCTGGCGGCGTAGTGTGTTACTGATGGTAGGCTTTGTTACTTTGGTCCCAGCTCTCTGCAGGTCATTCACTAGGTCCCCCCGTGTGGTTCTGGGATTTTTGCTCACCGTTCTTGTGATCATTTTGACCCCACGGGGTGAGATCTTGCGTGGAGCCCCAGATCGAGGGAGATTATCAGTGGTCTTGTATGTCTTCCATTTCCTAATAATTGCTCCCACAGTTGATTTCTTCAAACCAAGCTGCTTACCTATTGCAGATTCAGTCTTCCCAGCCTGGTGCAGGTCTACAATTTTGTTTCTGGTGTCCTTTGACAGCTCTTTGGTCTTGGCCATAGTGGAGTTTGGAGTGTGACTGTTTGAGGTTGTGGACAGGTGTCTTTTATACTGATAACAACTTCAAACAGGTGCCATTAATACAGGTAACGAGTGGATGACAGAGGAGCCTCTTAAAGAAGAAGTTACAGGTCTGTGAGAGCCAAAAATCTTGCTTGTTTGTAGGTGACCAAATACTTATTTTCCACCATAATTTGCAAATAAATTCATTAAAAATCCTACAATGTGATTTTCTTTTCTCAATTTGTCTGTCATAGTTGACGTGTACCTATGATGAAAATTACAGGTCTCTCTCATCTTTTTAAGTGGGAGAACTTGCACAATTGGTGGCTGACTAAATATGTTTCCCCCCCCACTGTATAACTGTATACTCTTTGAATAAACTGTAATAAACGGAATAAAACCTTGTGACATTGAAAAGCTAACTAAATCACACCTAACCTTCAGCAGCATTACCATTATTGTGAAATAACAAGGGGAAAACAGAACTCATACCATTTCAAAATCCTCTTGTGAGAAAAGCTACATGGAAGGTCAGTCTTTTCATGCATTGCAACCTCTCAAACTATTATAGTGTCAAGGGCGTATTGATAGATTGGGCACTGGCACAATGTTTGTTGATACTAAAGGACAATGTGGACACAAAGGTCCTCAGGCTCAGATGATCACTAGGCCACACTTGTCACACTCTGGCTCTGGGACTTTTTATGTTTAGTCAGGGTGTGTAGATTTCCGTGTGTTTTGTACTGTGGGTAGTGTCTAGGTGTTCGCGTTCTATGTTTGGTCAGTGACTCCCAATCGGAGGTAACGAGTGTCAGCTGTCGGCTCGTTATCTCTGATTGGGAGCCATATTTAAATGTCTGTGTTCACCTTGTGGTTGTGGGTTTTTGTTCTATGTTCAGTCGGTGTACTGAGGACGTTACGGATCGTGTTTTGTTTTGTCGTTTATTCAACATTAAAGTCATCATGTTCACTCCCAACGCTGCGCTTTGGTCCTACTTCATTGGCGATCGTGACAACACTACAGAATGAGAATAAATCATCCTCTGGTACTCAGGGTTGTGGAGAGGCATGTGTCACAAACAAAAGTAATCATCACTTGAGGGGAAGTGTGGGGGGTCAGGAGACATGCTGCTTAGTTATTTGGGTCAATTCCGCCAGCAGGTTGCCTTCCTTCACAATGGATGGTGAGGAGTAGACGGGAATAAGAAAGGAAGAGGGAGAGAATAATTGATTGATTCATCAATTGATGTTAAGTATGACAGGTGTCATATCTAAACATGACAATATCTATATCAAGGCTTCAATATATTGCACATCATTTTTGTGTTGCTTGTGGCTTCAAGGCCGGTAATTGTGCCAATCCAAACAGATGAATACCCATTCTACTTCCTTTTTAGGACAAGACTCAGAAGGTTCTTTTCACTTATTGTATCTGAACTGATTCAGTAAGCTGATCTGATCTAAGTAATTCACTACAGAAAAGTATTCAGTATCTCAGAGAAACCCCCACAAATCTTTCAAACCATAAGTCTATATGAAACCACGTCTACTATAAACTAGGTGTCCATATAAGAAAAACTACCATAACACAGTCTCCCTCAATAACTAGACATAAATACAAGAGGACAGACCATTTAACCAACTGAAGGCAATTCAAATGACTTGGATAAGAGATATACATCCGAATGTTATATAATGTTAAAGTTTTGATCCAATCCTTGGGCAATAAATTAATCAATGACTGCTCTTGAAGACAAAGCTTGCAGGATATTGCACTGTACAATAAACATACTACCATCTGTCTAACAGTACAACAACAAGGAAATAAACTAAGGCAAAAGGCAAAGCCATTATGGCTCATAAATGAGCAACAATATTCATTGTTTTCGCTTACCCTATTTGCACCCATGAAAACAGATTGAAGGACACTATCACTACAATGTGATTTTCTGGGGGGGAAATTCTCAATTTGTCTGTCATAGTTGACTTGTACCTATGATGAAAATTACAGGCCTCTCTCATCTTTTTAAGTGGGAGAACTTGCACAATTGGTGGCTGACTAAATACTTTTTTCCCCCACTGTAGCTGGTAACGTAACAGTATTTTTGTAATCCGATTACATGTAATCAGTTACTCCCCAACCCTGCTTGCACATAAACACACATGCATATATACACATAAATCCTTTTCCTGCAAATACACAGTGCTTAGAGGAGCGTGGGGGTTGGGGCGAGGGATAGACCTTGTCTGTTGCTATGGTTACGCGAGGGAGAAAATAACTAGGGCTGTGTGTTGTGGGGTAATGTCAGCATGCGGCCTCTGCACCTGCACCACACTGTGCATGACAAGCTACAGGAAGCTGGAGGACAGGAAGTCAGGGGGAATTAACCGAAAAATGAGCATCTCTTTAAGCAGTCAGTAAACCAAGATCTTAAACCAAGACCGGTAGCTTAGTGGTTAAGAGCGTTGTGCCAGTAACCGAAAGGTCGCTGGTTCTAATTCCTGAGTTGACTAGGTGAAAAATCTGTCGATGTGCCCTTGAGCAAGGCACTTAACCCTGATTGCTCCTGTAAGTCGCTCTGGATAAGAGCATCGACTAAAATGTAAAATCTTACAAATGGAAGCTCTGGCCCTGCTATTTTTTAGACTTGAGGTGGGAAGGGCCAAAACAATTACAGTTAACCTATAAATCATACTTAACAACAGGATATCCTTTGACCAGTACCCAATTGTCATACTTGAGTAAAAGTAAAGATGCCTTAATAGAAAATGACTCAAGTAAAAGTCAACCAGTAAAATACTACTTGAGTAAAGTCTAAAAGCATTTGGTTTATAATATACTTAAATATCAAAAGTAAATGTAATTGCTCAAATATACTTACGTATCAAAAGTAAAAGTATTAATCATTTAAGCAATCCAGACGGCACAATTATTATATACAGTGAGGGAATAAAAATGTATTTGTACGTTTGCCCACTGACAAAGACATGATCAGTCTATAATTTTAATGGTAGGTTTATTTGAACAGTGAGGAGAGACAGAATAACAACAAAGAAATCCAGAAAAACGCATTTCAAAAATGTAAATAAGTATTTGACCCCCTCTCAATAAGAAACATTTCTGGCTCCCAGGTGTCTTTTATACAGGTAACGGACTGAGATTAGGAGCACACTCTTAAAGGGAGTGCTCCTAATCTCAGTTTGTTACCTGTATAAAAGACACCTGTCCACAGAAGCAATCAATCAATCAGATTCCAAACTCTCCACCATGGCCAAGACCAAAGAGCTCTCCAAGGATGTCAGGGACAAGATTGTAGACCTACACAAGGCTGGAATGGGCTACAAGACCATCGCCAAGCAGCTTGGTGAGAAGGTGACAACAGTTGGTGCGATTATTCGCAAATGGAAGAAACACAAAAGAACTGTCAATCTCCCTCGGCCTGGGGCTCCATGCAAGATCTCACCTCGTGGAGTTGCAATGATCATGAGAACGGTGAGGAATCAGCCCAGAACTACACGGGAGGATCTTGTCAATGATCTCAAGGCAGCTGGGACCATAGTCACCAAGAAAACAATTGGTAACACACTGCGCCCGCAAGGTCCCCCTTCTCAAGAAAGCACATCTACAGGCCCGTCTGAAGTTTGCCAATGAACATCTGAATGATTCAGAGGAAAACTAGGTGAAAGTGTTGTGGTCAGATGAGACCAAAATCGAGCGCTTTGGCATCAACTCAACTCGCTGTGTTTGTAGGAGGAGGAATGCTGCCTATGACCCCAAGAACACCATCCCCAAGGGGACAGGACAACTTCACTGCATCAAAGGGACGATAGATGGGGCCATGTATTGTCAAATCTTGGGTGAGAACCTCCTTCCCTCAGCCAGGGCATTGAAAATGGGTCGTGGATGGGTATTCCAGCATGACAATGTCCCAAAACACACGGCCAAGGAAACTAAGGAGTGGCTCAAGAAGAAGCACATTAAGGTCCTGGAGTGGCCTAGCCAGTCTCCAGACCTTAATCCCATAGAAAATCTGTGGAGGGAGCTGAAGGTTCGAGTTGCCAAACGTCAGCCTCGAAACCTTAATGACTTGGAGAAGATCTGCAAAGAGGAGTGGGACAAAATCCCTCCTGAGATGTGTGCAAACCTGGTGGCCAACTACAAGAAACGTCTGACCTCTGTGATTGCCAACAAGGGTTTTGCCACCAAGTACTAAGTCATGTTTTGCAGAGGGGTCAAATACTTACTTTCCTCATTCAAATGCAAATCAATTTATAACATTTTTGACGTGCGTTTTTCTGGATTTTTTTGTTGTTATTCTGTCTCTCACGTTCAAAAAAACCTACCATTAAAATTATATACTGATCATGTCTTTGTCAGTGGACAAACGTACAAAATCAGCAGAGGGTCAAATACTTTTTTATTTGGGCAGTTCTAAAGACCACTTCTTCACCGGAGTAAGAGGATGAACTCTGAAGAAAATGTCAGTCTATAATTTTAATGGTAGGTTTATTTGAACGTGAGAGACAGAATAACAACAACAAAATCCAGAAAAACGCATGTCAAAAATGTTATAAATTGATTTGCATTTTAATTAGGGAAATAAGTATTTGACCCCTCTGCAAAACATGACTTAGTACTTGGTGTCAAAACCCTTGTTGGCAATCACAGAGGTCAGACATTTCTTGTAGTTGGCCACCAGGTTTGCACACATCTCAGGAGGGATTTTGTCCCACTCCTCTTTGCAGATCTTTTCCAAGTCATTAAGGTTTCGAGCCTGACGTTTGTGTTAATTCATAGTTGTGATGTATTCACTATTATTCTACAATGTAATAAAAAAAAAAACCTTGAATGAGTAGGTGTGTCCAAACTTTAGACTGGTAGTGTATATATATTTTTGCTGATAGCCAGGGGCACTCTCCAACACTCAGACATAATTTACAAACAAAGTATTTGTATTTAGTGAGTCCACCAGATCAGATGCAGTAGGGATGACCAGGGATGTTCTCTTGATAAGTGTGTGAATTGGACCATTTTCCTGTCCTGCTAAGCATTCAAAATGTAACGAGTACTTTTGGGTGTCAGGGAAAATGTATGGAGTAAAAAGTACATTATTTTCTTTAGGAACATCGCGGAGGAAAAGTTGTCAAAAAATATAAATAGTAAAGGACATATACCCCAAAAAAACTACTTAAGTAGTACTTTAAAGTATTTTTACATAAGTACTTTACACCTATGAGGTTAGCTACCACTGTGATAGCTAAAGATCATCAACCGTCATGGGTACATGACAATTTCATAGTACTTGACTATGAGGATGGGGTTGAAAACTCTGGTAATATAAAGCTAAAACCATAGGGACAACTAAAACTATAGGAGCTGGTGATAGCTGCTCCATCTGACCCTAATGGTAATCTATGGTCAACCAAGTGGCCTGCAGGATCCAATGTCTAATGTGGTTTTTGCAGGATGACTGACAGGTGGCTGCTAAGCCTAGTTGAAAGTCTAGCAGGTTACATTCATTCGGTTGAGTAAAATAGGGTTACCGTATTGCCTTACCTTGCCTTTGGTTACAGTCTTGTTCTTGCTACCCTTTGGCCTTCCCCTGGGCCTCTTTGGAGTAGGGGACCCACTGGGCTCCTGAAAGAAAAATATGGGAAATGGTCAGGTGGACAGCACAACGTTACATTTGAACAGTCAAAGATGCCAACACGTAAAATGGTGGTTCTATAGTTGTTGCATCCCAAGGTTTGACACTATGGATGAAATGATGAATTAAGCTGCTTTTTATGGAGGGCAAACAACTTGGTCTACATCCATGTATGATGTGATACGACACGCAGCTTCTTACATGGAATACTTTGTTATTCATGACACTAAGAGTGCACTGTTCAAGGTCAGTGCAACTGACACCCGTTGCTACTTTAAGACAACAGGTGGTCACAGCCACATTTTCAAATTCCATTAACTGTAAAAAGCTCTAGAGAAATTACAGTGGATTAGATCAGACCAAAAATATGGTAGTTGTAAATAAGAGGTATGTAGGGAGTAGAGGTATAGTATAACACAAAGATAATATAGCTCTGCGCAGACCTGTGTTCAGAACTAGACTTCTGGGGCAGATTTAACTGTTGCATCAATTGCAAAACTCATTAGTACAAAACAATACATTCAAATGTATTGTGTGGTAAATTGGCATGACCAAAATGCTAACATGATCACTACACTCAACAGGGATGGTGGCGGTTTACCAGCAAACACTAATAAACATGATTAATGCATTTGGCTGTATATTATGGAGGTGCAGGTTTTTATTACCTCCTCCTAAGTCTGTTTACAGCAGCAGCTACTAGCAACCAAGCAATCCAATACCAACAACACCCTCAGGAGAGTGACAGCAACATGGACCAATCATTGCTTCTACTTCACTTACATAAACCAATCAGTTAGAAGTAGAGCTGGGGTATGTGGGTTACCACTGGTTTAAGGGGTTCAGGTTACATATCAATGACAGCCTGCCAGACCACTGGATGATCATCATTACATATGTACACAGCCAGGGCTGGTGAGGAGGGGGTGGGGGAAAGGTAAAAAGAGACATATCCAATTACTCTTTACACTAAGTCAAGAGAAATGACACAATGGAGTCTGGCATTCTCCATGGTGAAACTACATAGGAATAAGACACCTCTGATGGGCTACGCTACTGCTTTGTGGTGGGTTCTGAGACCTGCTGCAGGAACCGGGTTTGGTTGACCAGTTAACTTAACCAGGAAAACTCTGGGCCCTAGTTGGGTGGGCATAACCAGGCCCTGGAGCCATAACCAAGTAGGGCCCATAGTGTTTCCTGGTCACACATGATCTATCATACAGAAGAAAGGTAGTGTTGTTTTATAAAGCTACTTACATCAGAACCGCTTTTCACCTCTGGCTGTTTCCTTGGTCTTCCACGTCCCCTCTTCTCCGCTCCCTCCTCTTTTGGTGAGACAGTACCCTTGTCACTCATGTTGACTTGTAATCCTGAGATTTAAAAAAGAAAATAACGTTTTAATAATATGGTCAATTTTGACAATGCATGTAAATAACAAATACCACAATATCAGACTAAGAAATCTCCAAAACAACAATACTGACTCTTATTTTTTGTTATTACATTAGTGTTCTTATTACAGTGTAATTACATAGTAAGTACAGAGCCATAATAATAGTGTATCGCATTTGACTTATCCCAATGTATTTGCTGCACTATCTTTGTGTCTCATCTGTGCTCCATTAATGGACTAGGCCACTGATAAATAAACGGGGGATAACAATCAACCAGCTTGTGTGAACCGATTATATAGCCCAGGGTTTCCCAAACTAGGTCCTGGGGCACGTTTTTGTCATAGCACTACACAGCTGATTAAAATAATCAAAACTTGATAACGAGTTGGTTATTTGAATCAGTTGTGTAGTGCTAAGGCAAAAACCAAAACGTGCACCCAGCAGGGCCCCAGGACCGAGTTTGGGAAACATTGTATAGCCTACATACAGCATGATGCCGCGCACAACCGAGATAGTGTATACCAAGCAAGTAGTGAAATGTCCTGGCTTGGTGTAGGCTGCAACAGCTCAGCAATGTTTAAAGCCCAGTCGCTACGGATGTCCAGTAGCTCCAGCGCAGAATAGGCCATTTCAAACAAAAAGAGGATAAACGAGGTATGCCTTCTCTCGAAATTCAGTCAGAATAGACTGCATGCAATATCGTTGTTTGAGTACAAAAATAAGCACAACGACGTTTTCAAAGCACATTTACAACATTAACGCTATCAGCCTATCGAATTATATGTCAAAATAACATGCAGACGTGACCGTATGCAAGGTCAGTTTTGTGTTCACTGAAATGGTTTGGATTGCTCCTACCTTGATCCCTTGAAGATTATGGCCCTCGAACGAATTATAACGAAACGTTCCCGCACAAACCAGTCGCTTGTCTTACCGGTTAAATCCTTTAACTAAAGCTCTTGTTTTATATTCGACAGAGACTACACAACGCCCGCCCCTTAAATTCCAGTCTGTGCAGCACAGCAACTAGAGAAGCAGACTATAGAATAGAGCCCCTAGACTAGAGGAAGTAAAACATATTGTAGAATTGTTTTATTTACTTGATTTAAAAATAAGTAAGTTGAGCTGCAGATCCAAAGCGTGCTAAAAATAGCTGTCCATCTCTCCTCAAGATAAAGAAATAATGCGCCAGCCTCAAGGAGTTTAGGACAATTTAAAGATTTAAAGCTTTGGATAAAAGCGTCTGCTAAATGGTATATTATTATATTAAAGAGGCGTCCTCGCAGTAGCTATAACATTGAGGGCGGAGATATGATAAGTGGGCCACCCCAACACCCGTCATCCATCTCCAACAACGTGGGCCCTGGAATCGAACCCACTACCCTGGCGTTACAAGCGCCATGCTCTACCAACTGAGCTACAAAATACCACCCCAGCAATATCAAATAATTAAAATGTTCCCTTGGTTTATGTACCTTCAACTCATGTTTTTAAAAAGTGATGTTGCTTTCATAGAAAGTAATTCCTGGAGGACTACATATACTGGAAATCAAGTAAACTTCAACTCGTGTTTTTAAAAAGTGATGTTGCTTTCATAGAAAGTAATTCCTGGATGACTACATATACTGGAAATCAAGTAAATTAAGTTGTATTGTATTGTTAGTAGTCTAGTATCACATTTTGCATGTCATTTTCTCCATTCTTAATTTTTTTTTAGAGGCCCACTCTTCGAGTGTATCTACAAATGAAGGTGTAAATTAAGGTGTGTGGCTTAAAGAGTGTGTTTGAGTGTTTTAATTCATTCAGCACCATGTGCCATTAAATAGTATTGTTTTTTTTATTCATGTCATTTTTAAGCTTGGCTTAAGGTGCAATCTCTGAACTATAACAATATATTTAGATCTACCAGATAAATAAGCTACACTGAACAAAAATATAAACGCAACATGCTGGTTGCATGTTTCATGAGCTGAAATAATAAATCCCAGATATTTTCCATACGCACAAAAAGCTTATTTCTCTAAAATGTTGAGGAGTATTTTTGTCTGTAATAAAGCCATTTTGTGCAGCCATGGGTGGGCCTGGCTGCCAAGTGGGTGGGCCTATGCCCTCCCAGGCCCACCCATGGCTGCACCCCTGCCCAGTGATGTGAAATCCATAGATTAGGGCCTCATTTATTTATTTAAATTGACTGATTTCCTTATTTGAACTGTAACTCAGTAAAATCTTTGAAATTGTTGCATGTTGTGTTTATGTTTCTGTTCAGTATAGATAACAAAACATGAAAAGAAACAATGGGAATCTCTGTCTGTTATCAGATATATCCTGTATACTGCATTACTTAAAAAAAATTTCATCTTTATTTAACCAGGTAAGCCAGTTGAGAACAAGTTCTCATTTACAACTGCGACCTGGCCAAGATAAAGCAAAGCAGTGCGATAAAAACAACCACACAGAGTTATGTATGGGGTAAAACAAAACATAAAGTCAAAAATACAACAGACAAAAAACAGGCTATTTACATGGACACACAAGAAAATACGACCGACTTAACTACCAACGTACTGTATGCATAGTCGTCCTCCTCCATAGGTAGACCCCTAGACTAGACCTATATACTGTTCTTGAATGTAAATCTACCCCATCTGGAGTTGATGGGTTCACTATGCATGTGAAAAAGATAGGTGTCACACCGTTAACTGCTGTCCCATTGGGACACACTGGGACACACTCTTAGCAGCAAATGGTTCCATATCCCCCACTCTGCCAAAACATAGGATAAGGGACAGACGACAATGGGCCATCTATGAAATGGAGAAGTGTATTATACCTTGCCACCTCCCCCTCAGACACACACCTCCCATCCTCCATAATAAGACGGAACAGGAACACTTCCCAATCCCTACCCCCACCCCCCCTGGCTCAGCATATGCTTTCCATGTGCCTGCTAGGTAGCTGTCACGGTTCAGACAGACGACCAGAGGACCACAATTGCGTCACACCAGAAAGTTTATTAAACTTAAGGGGAAAAGGGAAGTAGGGAGTGAATGAAGGCTCCAGGGGTAACAGGGATCCCGTCCAATGCGCTGGGTCTGTGCCCCCCCCAGTGGCAGCGATGCGTCCTATGAAGCCGGTGGTGGGTGGTCCAGAAGTCCTGGGGGGGGGAGACACAGACACAACAGGGCGGAATGAAACCAGGCAGCAGTACAGTTCAAGGGAAATCCAAAATACGTAGTAGCAAGGCAGAAGGCTGGTCAGAGTTACCGGGATTGAAGAGTAGTCAGGAGTCGTAATGGCAGAAGCAGGTCTGGATCTCCTGAGGCAGAAGAGTATCCAAAAAACAGGCAGGTCCGGGGTCACAAAACCAGGGTGAGCCAGAAGCGCGAGCAAACAGGTTCCGGGTGTGAGCTTTGCAGACGATCTGACACCGGAGAGCTGAAAGACAGGGCCTTAAATACTGGGAGAGGTAGTGGGTAATGCAGCGCAGCTGGCAGAGTAATTAGAGCAGAGCAGAGCAGGGACAGGTGGAGCTAGTTAGGCTGAGTAGAGAGAGTGGTGAGCAGAGTGGAAGAAAATTAAGGTGGTAACCCGGTGGAGTGAGAGGCCCATGACAGAACCCCCCCCCCAAGGGACGGCCCCAGAAGTCCCAAGAGCAACACCACGCCGGGCGGGAGGAGGGGAGCCGGAGGAGGGCTAGAACTCCTCCGAACGGTCCGAGTGAACGTCCTCATCCTCGGAGGAAGCCGGAGGGCCGTGGTCGGGAGATGGGACAGGTCCCGAGACAGGATCAGGCACAGGACAGGAAGCCGAGCGGGCCGGACGGTTAGGGACCCCTCTGGGGCGGCCCCTACGGATTGCAGGTTGATCAGGATGCCGTTGGTGGAAAGCGGTGATGAGAGTCCTATCCACAATCCGACTAGCTGGCACCCAGGTCCTCTCCTCAGGTCCATAGCCCTCCCAGTCAATGAGGTACTGGAGACCCCTACCCCTCCGTCTGGACCGAAGCAGGCGGCGGACGGTGTAAACCAGACCACCATCGACGAGCCGTGGAGGAGGAGGACCAGGCGCAGCAGGGACCAGCGGACTCTCATGGATGGGCTTAATCTTAGACACATGGAAAGTGGGGTGCACCCTCAGGGAATTAGGCAGTTGGAGCCGGACAGCAGTTGGGCTAATCACTCTTATGATAGGGAATGGGCCAATGAACCGAGGTGCCAGCTTCTGCGACTCCACCCTGAGTGGCAGGTTCTTCGATGACAACCACACCCTTTGACCAACATGGTAGGTGGGAGCAGGAATTCTCCGACGGTTGGCCCCGGTAGTGTAGCTGGCAACGGATCTGAGGAGTGTGGCTCGGGCTTGTGACCAGGTGCGGCGACATCGACGGGCAAAAGCAAGTGCAGATGGGCAAGTAACCTCCTCTTCCTGGCTGGCAAATAGAGGAGGCTGGTATCCATAAACACATTGGAAAGGGGACATACCGATGGCAGAGCAGGTCAGAGAATTGTGTGCGTACTCCACCCATGTCAATTGCTGCGACCAGGAGTGGGGGTTGCGTGAAGTCATGCATCGCAGTGCCTTCTCGAGCTCCTGATTAGCCCGCTCTGACTGCCCATTGGATTGGGGATGGAATCCGGAAGTCAGACTGACTGTGGCTCCCAGCAGGTGACAGAACTCCTTCCAAAAAGCGGAGGAGAATTGTGGACCACGGTCAGAAACTACATCCTTTGGCAGTCCGTGGATCCGGAAGACGTGTTCCAGGACCACCTGGGCGGTCTCCTTGGCGGTTGGGAGCTTGGGGAGGGGAATGAAGTGTGCCATCTTGCTGAAACGGTCAACGATGGTGAGAATGACGGTCATGCCACTTGAAGGGGGCAGCCCCGTGACAAAGTCAAGGGCGATGTGAGACCAGGGACGTCTGGGCACAGGCAGGGGCTGCAGCAATCCGGCTGGGGGCTGGCA